GTTCGCAAGCGTCCTTCTGAAGGGGGCACCCACTTGTACATTGTTTAATACGTTTATTCTTCTGTCATTTGTGGCTTGTTTGTTCAAGATCCTGGGGGCAATCCCAGGACTGTCCCCACTGGCTTCCTCACCTGTACAGGCTGCGCTACCTAATGCTCAAGTTACCGGGAGCAGACTTTGGGCCCTGCAGCCCAGGTGGCTGCTTGGAAAAGTGCCCTTTCTGGTGGTGGCTGGAGGCAAAGTACACTGCCAGCAGCACAGGGAGATAAGGTGATATCCCAGCTCTACCCTGGAGGTTATCTGCATGAAGTCAAAGAGTAGCTGAAATGGTACAAACCAGCTGGGGAGAGGAAGTGAGGACAGATGCTACCTTCCTAATATGGGCTCAGATTAGTTTATGCCTGGATTAAGTCCTAAGGGTTTAGGGTTACTTATTGCTTACAATAAGTAACCACAATGGCCTTGTTTATGCTGCTATCTTGGAGCCTCCTGGTTTGAGCAAAAGGCAGAAAATCTTTTTGAAAGAAAAAGGTTTTCCTCTGAAGTGAAAACTGCATTGAAAAAAACCAACTCCCAATCCTTTTTCTTAGAGCCATGGTACCTGCACCATTACACCTTCCTTCAGGACAAAGGAAACCCCAGAAGAAGAAAAATCCAAACAAAACTGAAGCAAGAGTGTTCCCCAACACTGGTCCCTTCAGACCACCTGCTGCCTGTTGCCCTACACCCTCTGTATCCTTGCTGTGCTGGCAGAGGCTGAGCAGCTGTACTGGGTTTTGTCCTTGCTGACCAGTCAGCTCTTGTACCTTTCCTCTTTTGGGAGCCTGCATTTTGGCTCTTCCCCTCTCTGAGCTGAAGAGGCAAAAGCAGCCAGAGTCCCTGGGGTCTATGGGAGCAGCCCATGCCCTGCAGCTCACTGTCCCCCACCCACCAATGCAGCACATTAGAAGACAACAGAGACACCCTGGCCTTGTGATTGCACCAGCATGTTCTCCTGCACGCTAAGACTCTGGGGCAGCTTCAGCCACAGCAAGGAGCATACTCCCAGCTGCTGCAGGTAACTGGAATGTAGCTCTATCAACATAGCAAAGCTGGGCAAAAGCCTCCTCTTTGAGGAATACAAACCCATAGCTCGTGTGTATCAAAACGCAGCAGCCAACACAACAGCACAACTGCTCTTTCCACAGGACTTCAGGTGAATTGTACTCTCCCTCCAGTCTCTTCAAAAAGAGCTGAATTACACACGTGGCTAAACTAACTGGTTTGGTAAGTAAACTGCCACTCGCATTTGAAACAGATATCAACGTCTCTTCCTGTAACAACCTTTACAAACTCCTCCAAGCCTGCCCTTCTGTTTCCACGTTTTATTAAAAATTTACATAAATGAACACACTCCAGCAATTGGGGTATGCAGGTGTCCTAGGTTAAAAAAATATACAAAATCCCAAGCCCCGGTGGGCAGGGCAGCAGCAGGTTGAAACCTCACTTCCTTTGAACAGTGGTGAAGGCTGGCATCTGAATGGGCTGGATGGAGTGCACCTGCTGAAAAACGGGCTTCTTCCGCATGTCGGAGAGTGTCTTCACCGAGGGGAGAAGCTGGTTTCTCTTGATGATCTGCAGTGCCAGCTGTGTGTTACCTACAAGACAACTGCTGATTAAAGAAAACCCCAACAAAGCCAAGTATCTTTGTATGACCCGTGAATCACTGTTCTCAGAACAAAGCTCTGGGCCCAGGCCACGTACATGCGTGGTCTTCCTATTCAGTGAAATGCTGACATGGACATGAAAAGCATTAGATAAAACTAAATGTGAAAAGATAGTATCGCTTGGTTCTACCTAGTCTTAGCTGAAGACATCAAGTTTTTACCTAATGCTGGAAGATGCCAGAGCACCTTCTAAATTCCTGAAGGGCGCCTATTTCTCTCTCCCACCTACATAGCAAAACTATCTCACACAAAATGCCCTCACAGTGTGATGTTACAGACAGTAATGTAAATGTCCAGAGGGTTTATAAAACATGCTCTTAAATTAATCTGATTTTTCAATTGTGTGCATGGCCCATCAAATAAATATCAATATAAATGGAAAACTTACTTTGTTAAAAATTAAACCCACAAAACTGTAGGAGAAAACCTGCTACATTCTGAAAAGAATATTTCTCCCTCTTATCATGTACTTTCACTGAAGTTTCAGTTTCAGAAGCGATACACTGTTCTGTTGCCATTTATAGAACAAAAAAGAATGCCTTTAGCTCCTTTAGATTATATACTTTCAAAGGAGAGATGTAAATCCCACTTTCCGCTCTCTTCTGCTCTGTACTACTTTGTTGCAGAAACAAAGGTTTCCAAAATTCCAACTTAGAAATCTCTCTGGAAGAAAGAAAAGCTTTGTAGAAGTCTCAGTTCTGAATACAAATGCTCAAGTGCTCTGCCTGCCTGCAATGTGAGACAACTGAAGGGGAACAACACACTGAACATTTCATAGCATGAGGACATTAAGCCCCAGGGGGCACAGGTCCGCAACTACGACAGCTTCAGTGGCACAGCTGCACCAATCTGTCCATGCTGCAGAATTCAAGTGCAATCTTTCCAGTTTCCCATTATCTAGTTTGGGTTTTTCTTCCATGCAAATGCAGTCAGCCTTCATAAAGAAGGAAGGGTTCTGGAAGAGAGAGTTATGAATATTACAAGCTTTGTTGCAGTACTTGCTGCATAGGTTTGACATAGCTTCTTTGGGAAACCTGGTTTCCAGCTGTCTTTTCATGAAAAGCCTTTCAAACCCTCTTATAGTATAAACCCCATCACATGATTTACTGAGTCTATCCAAGGCTACCGGTTCCTGCACAAAGTATAGAAGTTTTCAGCTCAGAAGATGAATGTTTAGGAAGTCTGGAGCATGCAAGAACAAGATGGCAAGAAACTATGGAATTCAGGGTGTGCATACATGGATCCGTAGCAGTGAAAAATGGAGACAAGACCTAAAGGGTGTCATTCAAAACACTGGCACAGCTCTAGAAAGACTAGGAATGACAACTACTGCCTGCCTCCCCTTGTATCCTACATCTAGGTTGACAGAACATTCCCAAACTTACCATTCTGTAATTCAAGATACACAGCCAGCAGAATAGCCTCTGGAGGGATCTCTTTGGGGTGGATCAGCGAAGCAGCCTTATTGAAAAAGAAAAGGATGGTGAGAAAAAGTGCTTAAGAGAACCATCCAGCTCAAAGAAAGTGCCCCGTGACAAGATTGTTACCACCATCTGAGCTAACAAAAACAAGTAACAATTCATAAACTGAAGACTTTTTCAAACTAATACATTCCAGCAGGTTTATGTATGCAAGGAGAGAAGGAAAGATTATCTGCACTGCAATATGGTTTCACACTAGTTAGCAGGACCATCTGTTATACGCTTATGTTAATATGAATCTGTGATTCTTGGGCCAATCTGTTGTGGTTTCCTGGTGAGATGACAGGTGAAGAAGGTAACCTCCACTGCTCCAAAGTTCAGAATACAAAGTTAACAAGGATTGCTCATTAGCTTTCCATATTTTTTGGCTATGAAGCAATGGATTTACTGTAGATGCAGAAACCTACTATACTTTACATCCACAGATGGCCTTACACTCCTTTGGGCTTTACGCATCTGCTGCAGAGCTCAAACATAGACACCTGCTCAATCCTAAGAAGTCTTGGGAGAAGAAAGAGCAAGACAACTGCCTTAAGCGGTTGAGAACCTCACAGAATTAGAATCTGTTCGCTACACAACTACTGAGAAGTAATTTGGAAGACTCTTGTTGCAGTTTGCAGCTCAACAAATCATTTAAGTAGTCTTTCCTGACAGACAGGAATGGCTACAAAAAGAGACAAACATCATCATCACTGAAAGAGATGGTCCCAGACATAAGAAAGACCAAATGACCCAGGCTAAGTGGAGACAAGAGTTTCAAAAGCAGTGCTTGAGAACTCTTGGGACAAGAGGCAGGCAAGGAACATACCCTCAGCAGAATTGCAGTTTGTTCTCACAGCCCTAAAGTTAATAGTTATAACTTTATAGTTATATCACTATTATATAACTAACTTAATAGCTATATCACTATTATATAGATGGTGAGTTGTAACTGATTAGAGAGAAGTAAACTCAAGGCCCTCAAGAACTTCCTCCTCTGACCTATTACAATTACTACTTGACCATTAAAAAAAAAAAAAGAACAAACACACACACACAAAACAAACTTAGAAAAAGGGAAGAGGTTTCCAAGTCATATTCCACTGTTTTGATATAGCCTAGAAAAAGCAAGTGCTTCCCACAGTGGTACTGAACTGTTTACACAAGAAAGAAATTTTGTATCCTTCATTTTATGTTACTAGCAGAGATTGGTTCATAAAGACAGAAGAGAGGCACCATCTCAGCAAAGTCTGCAAAGAAACCTCGGATATGGAATCACCAGGATTTGCTGTGATCTAAATGGCACTTTGAAGGAAGCACGTTTGTCCCTGAAGCTGTCTTGAGATTTGTTTTTCATACCTGATGAAGACACTTTCGAGCTTTGTCATATTCACTCCTCAAGCAGTAAGCACTTCCAAGGTTAAATAACATCATTGTTCGTGCAGATGTGACCGAACTGGGGTAACACTGTGGGGTCTGCTTGCCAGCTGCAAATAAAGAAGAAGAAACTGCATTTTTATTCCAAGCTGGCCAAGTAAGTTCCTGTACTCTGCTGAATACAGTGGCTGGTACTTACAAGATTCCATTGCCTCATTCTCTCCTTTGTCTGACCCTGTAAAGAAGAAAGAAACACAAAACCCATCATGTTCTGTGAGCTTCTTTAAAGCTTATTACAAAAAGAATACAAAGATACAAATTATTTGCTTCTTTCTTCACAGTCTGACATTAAAGAGGGAAATCATATCAGTTTGCTCGAGAGTTTATGTCACTTACGACTTCCTTCCTTTAATGCTTTTAGATTTGCAGATGAGTACAATGAAGTTTAAACTGTCACTGAAATCAGAGCTGTTGTAGACTTAACTGTACAGATGGGCTCTGAAGTATTTTTCTGTACAGAATACACACTCCCAACTGGAAGCATTGCAAGAAGATACAGATTAACTAAGTTCTCCCCACTGCTATCTCTTAATAAATGCAACAAGTAGACTTCAGTGGCACTCCAAAGCCTGGTGTAGAGACTATAAAGCTGGAAGAGAAGGTATGAAACCCAAACTCAACCATAATGGCACATTTAACAAAAGCAGCTTTCAAAGGTTACCTTCAAACAAGCCAGAACACTACAATATACAGTCCTACTTATGTTACACAATTAACCACTTCAAAGGAATGACAAACATGCAAAAGACAAACCAAAAGCAAAGTAGGAACCAAAGCCAGGAAAACAAAACCACAACAACAAAAACACACACACCCCCCCAACAAGCTACGGTCTTAAGACAAGATGTCTCAATCTTCATTATATTTGTATATAGAAAGTTACAGCAGGAAAGCAGCTGAAAGCATATCCAGTGCTAATGAAGTGTGGGTTCATTAACCTTGATCCTGCTCATTTGAAGAGATCCCAAGGGAAACATCAGTGACATTCTCGGGGTTCAAATGAGTGATGGCATCAGATATTCTGTCTAGAGAGATGAGAGCTTCTGCTGCATACAAATGCCCAAGAAACCTGCAACAGCAAAGGGTTAGGTACAAATGTCAGCATAACAACCCCTAGCATTTCTTATGTAGGACAAACTGAATGCAGTTTTTAATGTGAGTACATGAAAACTATTACCTCAAACACGTGAGTAGAAGTTAGCTTGCTTAGAAGGTACTGCCATAATACCCAGTTCTGACATTTACTGCTTTTAGGTGCTAATGTTGTGAAACAAATCTGCACCTGAGTTATGACCATTCTTGCACAGGAATTGCCACTCCAGAAAGACAGTGCCTTGGCATGGCTTTATCTCAGAGAATTAAAAAAGGAATCCTTACAAAAACACCCGAGGATATAGATACTTCTGTAATTTAAGGTGTTAAGTGACTTTCCACTCAATAAAAATCAAATTAGTTTTCTGATATAGCTGCTTTTGTAAGGACAGCAACTATACAGGCCTGTCCATGGGGCACAAACACCTTTCCAATTGCAGGGTTTGCACTTGATCTAAGCAAGTCTAATGTTTTGACACTTGCAGTTCAGCTCAGCCAGTCAGCAGCTCTCCTTTTCAACTTTGTAACAGAAGGAATTCTGTCAATCAAGAGCATAGTTTGCAAATATTTAATCTGAAACAAAAGTTGAGCAAAATAAAGTTCATGCTTGTTCTATGCAGCTGTATGCAGTACACGTCAAACTGACTGCAGAGTTGGTTGTAATGAAGTACAAAATATCAGGTAAAATATCAATCAGTTGTCAAAAATAAAACCTACAGTTTAGATCTGATACCGAAAACGTAACTTTCTACATGCAATTTATTTCACTTCAGAAAACAGGAACAGTTCAATATTCCCAATATGCACAAAAGCCTTGTTTCCTGGGACCAAGATATATGGCTGTTTGTTGTTGCAAAACAACTGTCAGCTAGCCTTTCTTGCATTACATAGTGGCAACACTGCCTTCACGGAAGGACACGTTACCTTGCAAACTCCTCTAAAGTCTTGCTCATTCAATGCCTGTGCAAAAAGATAGTCTGGAGCATAGGAGCCAAAGAATTTTAACTGGTGTGGACCATTTTAGAGTATGCTGCCAGCATATAAAAATAAGCACAAGTTAGCTTGCTTTCTGCAAATACATCACCAGTTTTGAAAAACAGTACTACAATAAAAACCTCTAATATATTTTATCCTGTGTATGATATAGGAATTAAACATACAAACAAGGTCAGAAGGATAGAGCTAAAGCTGCTTTTTTTCTTTTAATTTGAAGAGATAAATGTGAACTGGTGGGTAGAAACAGAATGAGCTTTGAATATCCTCTCAGAAATACAGTGCCAAATGAGAACTGAGAAAGAGAAAGTGAAGAATGGAACCTATAAGCGCAACAGTAGCAGTGAAGTGAAATTCCTACACCCCAAGATCTGGTGCCCTACTAACTGAGCAAACCTTGCTCTCCAAAGTTGTAGTTTCATAAGGAAGCTTTCAGCAGTACACTGGTTTGGGCTGATGTTGTCTACCCACAGCTGCTCATTCCTGCCCCTTGTGCTGCGCCAACCCCAGCACGTGCAGCCCCACAGTGAATCAGGACACAGACCAGATGGTCCTGCCACTGCTGGAGATTTACAAATAGCAACAAAAGCAGTGATTCTGAATTACATGGAATTCATACACAAAGGAGGGGACTCACGTTCCTGCGTGTCAATGAACATTTAGTCAGGGCTTCAACAAGAACAGGAGCAGGCCAAGCAATTCTTTGCATCAGATACAGAATTGGCAAGCAGCTACAGACATTGGAAGCTTCAACTCTGAACTCTCCAGCAAAAAGCAGGGCTAAGAAAGAAGAAATGACCACGTGAGACTTACTTAAGAGACCCTGACAGCTTTGGTTGCTGAAGAAGTTTATCTGCGTGATTCAATGCCATAAGGTTATCACCCAAAGCCAGAGCCACGTAAGCACTACACGCAAGTATTGAGCACCTGGAAGGAAAAAGAAAAAAAAAAAAAAGAAAAAGAAAAAAAAGGGAGGGGGGAAGTCAATATGTTAAATGGAGAATTCTGCAGCTGTTAAATGCTGAAAAAATAAATCATAAACTTGCAATAATGCCTTTGCATCAAACTATACAGGAGCTAGTGTTCCGTTACCTATGGCCTCAATCGTATTCTCTGAATTAAGAGGTATATACATTGTATCCCAAGAATCACCATGATGTGCTCAGTAGGATTTTGCAATTTTGACCATTCATAACAAATTAAAGAAAGATGGACCTCAACATGTGTCATTTTTCTCGGGGATGCTTTCCCTTTCTCACCCTCTTTTTATTTGTTTTGCCTTGGACTCAGATTTGTACTTGCCCACCCCCCCCCTCCTGCTGCAGCAAAGGGTTGCAAATTTCTAGATTTCTGCGAGGTACAGACACATAACAACAATCAATGAAGTTTCAGCACATTTCACTCTTGCATTCTACAATGTTTGCACACAGGGAGACAATAAACACTGGAGAATTTGGTGTTTCCGGTTTTTAGAGCTGTAACCTGCTGCCAAGACTCCAATTGACCTGTGGCATTTTGTTGCCATCACAGACTTATCTTTCCAAAACCCCAAAATCTCTGTAATAAAATCTGAACTACTTGCATTTTCCATCTGCAAACAATAACCCTACGTCAGGATGCCATTATTAGGTCAAGCTTCACACTTTGTAATAACTGCCCCCTACCTCCTCAGGCACAGCACTTGGGGTTATTTTCCACTTGGTAGGACATCATTCAGTGCAGGCCTTGTCCTCAAGGCACAAGCCTCTGCCTGAGATGCCTTGCTGTGAACACAGACTGTCCTTCTCCAGGGAGGAAGAGCAGATCCTCTTAGTGGGGTCCCACATTGGAAGCGATGGGAGGAAAGCCTTCAACTCTCCCGCCGGTAGGTGGGCTATTACCACGCCAACCTTCTGGCAACTGTCAAGCCCATTTTCAGTCTAGCAGTAAGTCATGTAATTCGTGGCAGGACCTGGGGTGCCTTTATTCCTCTTTCCCAGGAGGTATGCTCCTTAATTACGCACAAGCAGGATAAGAAACTTCTCCAGTGTTTCTTCCCTACCCCCTACTTCCTCTGCACCATGCCCAGATGTCACATCAAATCTGAACACATACAAAAGCTTGAGAGAGGGAGAGGAAAGCTTCCCCAGCTCAAGTCCCAATCCTAAAATATTTCTGAAAGGTTGTGACTGGGGAGGGGGAAGGAATGAGGATTTTTTTTTCCTTTTTAAATCTCTGTAATAACAGTCTGCTCCTAACCAGCCTCTTTTCATCTCTGCCCAAAGGAAGCACAGCTTTTAAACCAGCAGAGATGCAAAGCGTCACCACCTAAATATCCTTTGATACAAGTCAAGGCTTGCAGAGTTGGTTTCTACTGCCCTGTACACCAATAGGTGTCTTCTATTTCCCACAACTTCTTAAAAGTCTTTGTATTTCTGAAAGCGTAAACTCCGACACAAGGTACACTCCAATCACACAACAGGTAAGTGCAGCAAAACTGAAACCTACTCCTCTGCTCTAAAGACTCATCGTTGTTTAACTCTGGTAAGAGCTGGCAAGATTCTTCAGCCACAGCCATCTAAAGAGGAAGAAAATATTCAGGTTTTCTTCCCTGTTCTTGCACACTTGGATCCATTGTTGAGCCAGCTAAACCAAATGCTCAGGAGACCTGACAGCTAACCAGAGCAGAAGAATTGCACCACAAGGGAAAAGACAAACTAGTTTTTCACCCCAGTCAGGATTCTGACAAAACTCCACAGGTCGCCTTTGAGCATGGCAGACTTCCAGCATCACTGAAGCTCCACATGCCCTAAATAAAACTGCCTTTGCACTAGGAAAAAGAAAAATGTTTTTTTTAACTGCCAGATTATGTCAAACAGCCTCTTGGGCAACAGGATTTGTCAGCCCACACAGACTGAAAGCTTACAGCACACAAACTCCCCGTCTGACTTGGCTTATTTCTCAGGCAAAGGGTGAGCCAGAGCAAATCTAGTTCTTCAAAACTTACTACGAAGGCATCAAAAATGGCACTTCTAAACCATTTAGAGAACATCACTAATCTGAGATAATTTCTACTAGCTAACTGAGCACAACAGTGGATATAAACTCTCTTCTTTTTACCATTCAACACAGGCAAAACAATCCAAAATTTGAAGAAATACAGAATGCAGAAGGTGCTTAGTCAAATGGGGATATTCAGCACCAGCAAAGGGGAGATGAAGAGGAAGAACTATGAAGTGGCTGAGAGGAAGAAGAGAGTGAAACAGCCATAGCATGATAAGCATTCTGAGCTTCCAGTATTGCGACAGGGCCAAATAACCCACTGCAGCCTTTAAGTGGATAAAAGAGGCAAAACTGGGTAGTTGGGGGGAGAAAAGGCAATATATGTCTGTGGGCAATGGTGAACCTTACAGTAGTATTACCTGTGAAATTATTAGCAATGCAGTGCTCCTGGAGTACCATATACAATACTAGGGTATGCACACTTCAACAATAGGTAAGTAAATAAAATAAAGCATAATGATGGGCTGGAGATGGCCAACAGAAGAGTCAAAAGACATGGAGGTTGGGGGAGGAAGGTAAAATTGGATCATGAGACTTACAGCAAGGGTTTGCAGTTCAGGACAAATCAGGTGATAAAATTATTCCTTTATGTCTAGCTGTTTGGAAGGGGAAAATTAACATTATCACACAAAGCTGTTCTGTGTAGGGAGAAAAGGGCTACAACCAGGTCTGTTGCTATCCATCTCAACTTTTACAGTAAAATCCACAAAATTTCAGATTTAGTAGCACTGTGGTTTACCAGTACTCCTTCACTCTTGATACATCTCAACAGTGTTGGGTTGTTCTGGTGTGCTGAAACATACCACAGGCTGAGAGTAGAGCAGAGGAACTGGCTTCTCCGAGGATGAGAAGCAACAAGGAGCAGAACTGTTTAGAAGAAACTCAGAAGAAAAATCTGGAGTTTCTACTTCCTATGCATCAACTGTACAAAATCATGCAAACCCCCCACCCCCAGCATTTAGGTTGCCCATTTCAGTTCTAGAAGCAAGCAGGTTTTACAATCCAGTGACTTAACAGGGAAGAACTGAATTGAATAGAGACCCATTCCTCAGGATAATCCTTGCCACCACTCAGTATTTTTTTCTTAATATTCCCTGACTGGACAAGAATTCTCACTTAGCTCCTTAGTGAACAAGACTACAGGAATATACCGACACATTTTTTCACAGCTGTCTGCAGAAACTTACAAGTAGTTTTAGCAGAATCACTCTCTGGGGATGTCTGGTCCTCTGAGTTTAACCACCAAAGCAAGTATTGCAAAAACTAAACCAATGCTTTTCCTTTCCTTATATGATGTTCCTTACCAGAAGCTTTGTAATTCTTGCTAAACTGATAAGTTTTTCCTGACATGTTGTCAGGTTTCATCAGTAGATAACAGCTGGTTGTGAAAGAAAAGACTACATACTAAAAAGGAAAATCACAAAGTGACACCATGTAATTTTGACATGTGGCAACCACATTTTCAACAGCCGGGAGGGAAAAAAAAACCCAAACCAAAAACTTTCAACCCACACCACTGTTTTTAAACCAGCGCTTTCTCTTTTGTGTAGCATACTCTTATACCACTTCAGAATAAATAATCAAGGTCTTAGTAATGTCTCCTCACAGATTCCTGCTAAACTGCTTTTAAAAGAATACAAGTAGATTTGCCACAAAGCAAAGTCAAGGTTAAGCTGGTCATTATAAAACACAGGTTACCTGGGGTTAGGCGGAACAGTGTTTACCCAAGAGTTTAAGTGGGAAATTACTGTATGCTTTGTCCATAATGGAAACTTAAAACAGATTTCTTTTTTCTAAACAGGTGCAAGCTTTATAGTAAGAGAGATTTTCAGTAGGCTGGCAGCCACTTGTAATAATTAACATTGCCAGCAAATGATAATCTTGTTGGGGAAAAGTAAAGAGTTTCCAGATAACATGATACTTATTTAGACACATGGGAGTTACTCTGTTTGGAGAGCACTCAGACTGCTGAACAAGTAACTTAAGGATCTTTCAGAACAAAAAAAAAAAAATCTACAGTCAAATTTTACCTATGTTCTTCCATGGTGAGGAAGTCAAATGCCTGGACAGCAGCAACTCTTCTTTCTCTTAAATGCAAACTATTGATTTACTGTTGCTGAAAGGAGCACCATTCTCATTTGAAAGCAGCATAGCTGCTCTCACCACTTCCTTTTCTTTTTCCCCCATATAAAAAGCATATAATGTTGTGGGGGCTGAATTCCAAACTAGCCTTATTCAAGGCCTTAAAGAGAAAGGTACCACACAGTAATTCCACTTATTCCACCAATCACAACAGCTGTGGTCATGTTTTTAGCTTTGTTGTTTATGGGGCTTGTTTTTTTTATTTTTGCCCAATATATAATGCTAAGCTTATAATTGTGGGATCAAACAGACAAATCCACTTTCTGAACTGAAATTCTGGATAGTTTCTATTTGAACTCAAAGCCCAAGAGAAAGGAAGCACATGCATTTGAAAAAAGGCATCCTTAGATTAACAGCTACAATTCAGTGCTGCAAGTGCTTAAACAAAAAAAAGCCAGGCATGACTCCAGAATCATGGCACAGTTTTATATTTTATAATAA